TCAGCTTTGTGTGAAATTTGAGAGGAAGGTGTTATTTTTAAGGTCAGGGTAGATGATCTGTATAGCTCACACTGACTAACTATTACTACTATTACTAATGTCAATAAGTCATTAATTGTTTTGCTGTCTCATTATCTATAATTATTTTGCAACAAATTGGATTTTCATCTTTAAAAGCCGTTACTTTAGTTTTATCAGATATTTCCATTCCATATTTCTTGGCAGTCTATTTAAAATGTACATATATTGAGTTGAGTCATAATTAAAATCTTTTTTTCATAGCATTGTTTAACAAACCATCAGCTCAAATGCTAATTTTTTAAGAATGTAACATTTTAATAATGACAACTTGCTCAATTAACAGACTATAATTAAATTAAGTCAATAATTAGAAACAAAGTAATTTGTCTAGAGGCAGGCAGTTAAAGCACTGTGTCATGATAATTCTAATAATTATAATAAATTAATTTTTATTTAAAATTTCTGGAAGTAAAGAATCAGCCTGAAGCAGAACTTGAACAACCCACAACTTCCATGTACCCTGCAGATATGTTGCTAGTTATACTATCCAGACATCCTCTAGTCTTTGCTTCCAGAACTATTAATTTAGACATACACATTTGCTTTAATTTAGAACTTCTGGAAGAAATTAATTTATTATAATTATTAAAATTATCACAAGATGAAAGCTTAACTACCTACCTCTAGACAAATTACTTTGTTTCTAATTATTAACTTCTTATCGGGCTTTAATCATAGCCCGATAATTCAGCAGATAGCCTGGCTTTAATCAAAAGATCAATCAGATCACTTGGCTTTTTTTGTTGAGTTGTTCTTTATATATTTTCATAACAGTTTTTCATTATTTTTTTATTAGTGTCAATCAAACTGAGCTTCTCAGAACATTTAAAGCAGTGTTTCTCAACCTGTAACGAACCATCACCCCCTTCAACGTAGTATCGCCCCCTTCACTTCAAAATTCCGAGGCCGAGGACCAAGGCTAATGCCAAATTCGTACTGCATTGAATAGACTAGTGACTAGTATAATGTTATTTGTTTAATTATTGTACAATATAACGAATAAAATATCTAATTATTCTTAATATAATGTTTTACTATATCGCCCATAAAATTGTTTTTCGCCCCCCAAAATATAAATTGTCACTAATCGCCCCCTCAACATGGAAAATCGCCCACATGGGGGCGATATCGCCCCCGTTGAGAAACACTGATCTANATTATATTAAGAATAATTAGATATTTTATTCGTTATATTGTACAATAATTAAACAAATAACATTATACTAGTCACTAGTCTATTCAATGCAGTACGAATTTGGCATTAGCCTTGGTCCTCGGCCTCGGAATTTTGAAGTGAAGGGGGCGATACTACGTTGAAGGGGGTGATGGTTCGTTACAGGTTGAGAAACACTGCTTTAAATGTTCTGAGAAGCTCAGTTTGATTGACACTAATAAAAAAATAATGAAAAACTGTTATGAAAATATATAAAGAACAACTCAACAAAAAAAGCCAAGTGATCTGATTGATCTTTTGATTAAAGCCAGGCTATCTGCTGAATTATCGGGCTATGATTAAAGCCCGATAAGAAGTTAATAATTAGAAACAAAGTAATTTGTCTAGAGGTAGGTAGTTAAGCTTTCATCTTGTGATAATTTTAATAATTATAATAAATTAATTTCTTCCAGAAGTTCTAAATTAAAGCAAATGTGTATGTCTAAATTAATAGTTCTGGAAGCAAAGACTAGAGGATGTCTGGATAGTATAACTAGCAACATATCTGCAGGGTACATGGAAGTTGTGGGTTGTTCAAGTTCTGCTTCAGGCTGATTCTTTACTTCCAGAAATTTTAAATAGAAATTAATTTATTATAATTATTAAAATTATCACAAGATGAAAGCTTAACTACCTACCTCTAGACAAATTACTTTGTTTCTAATTATTAACTTCTTATCGGGCTTTAATCATAGCCCGATAATTCAGCAGATAGCCTGGCTTTAATCAAAAGATCAATCAGATCACTTGGCTTTTTTTGTTGAGTTGTTCTTTATATATTTTCATAACAGTTTTTCATTATTTTTTTATTAGTGTCAATCAAACTGAGCTTCTCAGAACATTTAAAGCAGTGTTTCTCAACCTGTAACGAACCATCACCCCCTTCAACGTAGTATCGCCCCCTTCACTTCAAAATTCCGAGGCCGAGGACCAAGGCTAATGCCAAATTCGTACTGCATTGAATAGACTAGTGACTAGTATAATGTTATTTGTTTAATTATTGTACAATATAACGAATAAAATATCTAATTATTCTTAATATAATGTTTTACTATATCGCCCATAAAATTGTTTTTCGCCCCCCAAAATATAAATTGTCACTAATCGCCCCCTCAACATGGAAAATCGCCCATATGGGGGCGATATCGCCCCCGTTGAGAAACACTGATTTAAAGCATGTAATGTTCTGTGTGAATTTAAAAATTATAACATTGCAGTTACAAAACAAACAATATGTGTCGTGTGTATGGCAGCAAAGCCTTAAATATCAGAAAATGTTAGTGTTGATTCAAAAAATTTAGTATGTTTCATTTTTAAAGATGAGTCTTACTCTGAATTACCTTCTACTTTATAAAACACTAAAATTGCTGTTATAGTGGAAAACTAAACCTTTCTAGATTAGAAATGGCAGAAAAATTTGGCGTGACTGAATCAATAGCAGTTGGATCAACTAGGAAAAATAAATAAGTATGGGATATGGGTTCCATATCACCTTATTGAACAGAATGATCTAGATTAATTATCCATATGCATTTCACTTCTTAATAAGCAACAGAAAACCCCATTTCTGGGCAATAGTAACTAGAGATGAGAAGTGGGTATTGTAAGCTAATGTCATTCATAAAAGACATTGGTTAGATCCAAAGGCTACTTCAGCTCCAGAACCAAAGCATGACTTTCATTCTTGAAAGGTATCCTATATGTATGTGTGAGAATATGAAAACTGAATTTCGAGTTGTTGAATTGAAATTAAACAGTAAATGCTACTTTATATTGTCAGCAATTGGAAAAACTTTCTGGAAAACTCCAACAACCATATTTGATAAACAGGAATGGCATTATTTTGTTACACAATAGGCCTAACATTCAATACCATGTTGCAATAACCATCCAACAAAAATTGAAAAACTTAATTAGAAAGTTCTCTCATTCCCATTATAGCCATGATCTGGCACCACAGATTATCACCTCTTTTAATCCCTTTAAAGCAGTTTTAATGGTTTAATTCAAATGAAACTATCCAGAAGTGCACAGAAACATTTTTTGAATTAAAATCTGATAAATTTTTAAGACATCAAAAACTTTTATATTGAAAAAGTCATATCTAATGAACATATTTATTTAATCCAATATATAATTTTTTTATGTAAATAGTTTATTAATAAAAAAAGACATTACTTATAATTTAACCCAATATTTCTGTTAACCCAACAAATAAAGTTAGCAAATTCAGCATGTTTATTAAAATTAATCCAATTTCTTTATGGTTTTGGCTCAAACACTGAAAAAATGAACAAAACTGACTGCATTATTTTTTTCATTTTTGACTCTCTAGCCTATGGACATTAAAAGGGTCTTTTTAATCATATCCAACATGGATGATCAGTCCTAGAAGGTGACTGGGTGGGGAGGTATTTGTTCTGACAAATACAAGACAGATCATCCCAAAAATTCCTGGAGTTACTCATTCAGGTATGATCCCAAGTTCCTTAGAGCAGTAAATTGATGCCTTAACTACGTTAGCTCTCTGACCATCAACAAAACTGGCTTGAATTAAGAGTTCAGATTAGTAAAAGTGCACTGTACAACCTGTCTTTCTTTACAAACACACTTACATTGAAATCCATTTAAAAGAGACTGACCCAAATGATGAATTCAATTTCAGCTTGCCCAGCAATTCATCATTTGACTTTATTTCTACATATACAATTGTTTGCAGATGACAAGGTTAACCTAGTTCCCTTGTCCTATAGTTAGGTCATTGGCCTAAAGTTATCTTATATTTTTGTTTTTAGCCCTGAATAAATAATAAGAAATGACTAAGCACTCTTATTAAATTATTAACTAATTATAGATTTAGTGTAGAAGTTGACAGTAATGTTCTGTTTCCAACTGATATCATGAACTGTACTAAAGTTAGTTTCAGGAAACTAGAACTTACTTGTGATCAATTGCTGTTTTGGTTCATTTTGATGCTGCAAGTTACACTGATGTAAGGACATTTCAACATGCTAAGACAGCTGAAACCATTTTTTTTTTTAATCAAGAAACAATTCATGACATACATTAAAATAAATAATTTTTAAATGTCTAGGATGCAAAATACCTGTACATACTTTCTTAACAATTCAGCATTAGTTTTTGTTGTTTTAGCTCATATTGTTGGTTGAACCAAACTCAATGTAACAGAATATTTTCTGCATATACACAAAGACATGGTTACTTTACTCATAAGAAATGTATTTATAATTAAATATTGGGTACATTTCTATATTCAACAATTGACTCAACAATGAGAAAACATTTCTAAATGGACCATTGAAGCCTGTGGCATCGGCGTAGATTCACCAATAAGCTCAACAGTCTCAACGACCTGAAAGACCATTGAATATTCAACAAACTAACATGGCATCTTCCATGAAACAAGTAAATTTCGCTTATAGAAACTATTGATTCACTCTTGCTGTGGATGCTGTAATAGCAGACAGATTAATGAACAATCTGTATAAGATAAAACATGTGATTGCATGATTATGTTAGATAATTTGGTCAATATTGAAATATTAAGCTTTTTTTCAGAAACAAACTAACTTCATGAATTCATCCAAAATTTGATTAGGACCAATATTTGGACCTCTACATCTTCCTAATGATATAAATGTTCAAGAAATTCAAATTATTGAAGAAAGACCTAGTATAGAAAAAAATGATACAGATAAGAGTTCATTCAAATAAAAGGGATTATTCAGATAATGGTGAGTTACTTTAATTATTTAGCAAAACAGCTACAATTGTCACCTTCTCTTTAATTAAGTCAACCATTATGAAAAGCATGAATGCAAACATTTCTTTTTTCTACAAAACATGATGTCAGATCATTCAACAGAGGGATTCAATGGAGAACTCACCAATGATGTAAGTGTTGGATTTATAAACGTATGGATTGTACTTATGCAGTTTTTGAGAGATTGAAATTTAATGTTATTAAATTAATAAATATAACATTTACAATAATGTAAACAATTCAAAGGATTTTGAGATAAGAAACTCAACCTCTCCTTGGCACCGGGGATGAAATACTAAATTCGGAACCTGTTACCGGTGTAATTTGTGCAGCATTTAATACTCTCGTTAGAAGGGCGTTTTCTCCATTCGTCCACCACACAAGCCATTACCACCAAATTAAATTATGTTAAGAAAATAGCAGCCAAGCACGGTTATCCTGGTCTAACACATTGTCTGAATGAACAACATCAATGCTCGCAATACGCACCCACTACACGTACAAGGGCCAGCACTAACTTGGAAGATCGTATATGCCTCCCAGTCACCTTTAACCCATATGTTAAAGCAATATATTCTGAGATTGTCAGGAAACATCAGTTACAAATAGCCTATAGAAGATGCCCCACAATCTTCGAAATCCTCAGAAATGGAAAGGACTATCCGGTTCATAGCAGACTTCGTGGTGTCTACTCCATACCACTCAAGGATAACAGATGTAACAAGAGCCTCATATATATTGGTTCAACCAAGCGCTCTTTGACTACCAGAATACGCAAACATCAAACGGATCTTCGACACAGGAGATACACCACGGCCCTAGCCACCTTTGCATCTGATCCTGAATTCGACAAGGCTGACGTCATTGACTCTACACCCCATCTAAAACATCTAAAATGGCTAGAAGCCGTATCCATCTACATGGCTAACCACATGACCACATGTATAAACCAAAAAGATGAGTTTAATCTTTCTCTAGCATGGCAGGCCCTTATAAATGGCGATCTTTAAATACCAACATCCTCGCACCAATGCGCATGCCCGTCTCAACAAGTTCTGTTATATGAATATTCGGTTTTTAGTTTGAATATCCACGTTCCAGTTTTCAAAGCGTTCCAATGGAATTTCTTTACCTGAGGAAGAACTACCTCTAAAGTTTGAAAACGTTTGTGAAAGGAAGATTTTTTCACACAAATTACACCAATAACAGGTTCCAAATTTAGGATTTTGAGAATTTGAAAACGAGCAATTTCCACAGCAATCAGTTAGCAATTAGCAAATGCAAGTTAGAAGTTCAGATTTAAAACATTTGAATTTTGCATTCTCATCATAATTGGATGATGAAGTGATAATTCTCATGTAAACTATACATGCACATACAGCAGAAATGGACTACAAATCATTTAAAAAATAGCACATGCAAACAACTATAAAATTTAAAAGTACTTATCCCAAAAATGATTAAATTGCAAAATATGCATTAACAAACAACCTTAATTTGATCCACTTGGGCCAAAATTGTGTTTATATCAAGGTTTCAACTTCATAGCACTTAAGGAAACAACACGTACCTTTCATACAAATCCAGCTTCAAATATCATCAATTCCAGAATTGAATTTTACCTTGTTTCCATTCCACACTGTATTGATGGTTTCTGTATTCAGCAAATTGTATTGTCTTTATTGAAAATTGAAGGCACAGTCTGCTGAAACAGGAATCACCATTTATTCAATTTCTTAACTTCCAGAATACATTTTTGATAACTGACTGTTCCTTGTAGGCTACTTGTATTGTCATTATCAAATTTACTAATCTTCCTTGTACAGTACACATGAAATTTTTTGTAAAATATTTTTGTCATTAATAGTTGGAAAAAACCCATGCAATAGTCCAAGATATCTTTTATATTTGCTCAGGACCATCCTAAGCTCTCCTTCATCTTTTTCACTTTCTTCTCTATTCCTTCTCCACTAGTCTAAATCTGTAAATATGCTTTTACTTTGTTATATGACTTTGTGATTATTTGTTGTGGATGTTTAAAATGGACATATTTATGATGTATGTGATTTTGTTTTGTCTATCAATGAATGTGTCCATCTGTTGATGAATTGTTTTGTCTTCAATTATGGCTCAGCCATAACACATTTTGTATGTACTGTTTTCTAAGACTGTCTGCAATGTATACAGTATTTGCAGTATGGTAGTTGGATATATAATAGCTTGTGTTTGTGTGTAAGTTTTTATACATTGTGTTTGTTATTTGGTTGTATGACTGTCAGTAGTCTGCACATGCTAAAAGCTTGCTATCTAATTTGATATGTTATGTACTTTCAGATACAAATGACATTTCCTACAATTTTTGTCTATGAATGTGCTACCTATAGATATTTTCGTATTTTGACCTGATCTTGTTTGGCCATCATGAACCTTCCATCTCTCCAAAGAGGCATTCCTGAATCAGCCTGCAGTTTGATAGTTTTGCCAATATGATCCTGTATAAGATCATTAAAATGCTTACTATGGAGCTCTTTCCAGACACAAGACTACTGCATGATGTCTGCATCTTTTATATGTATACTATATTATATCAAAGTCAGTATTGTGAAGGTTTAATATGATTCTGTCTTTAAGAGTTGCATCTTTGTATAACTAAGGCCAAACAATCTATCAGATTATATCGGGCTATAATATATATACTACTTAATAATTAAATATTAAGCTATTTTGAGGTAGGTATTATGTGTCATCTCTTAATAAATTTAATAATTATAAGCAAATTAATGTTTAATTTTTAATTTAGAAAGTTCTGGAAGACAAGAATCAGCCTGGAGCAACACTCAAACCCACAACTCCTGTTTACTGTGTAAATGCATTGCCAGTTACACTACCCAGACCTTCATCTTCCTAGATCATAAATCAGGTTAAAGGATGTTCATACATAACTTCACTTCATCCTACACCGGAATATAATCAATTACATACCCTGAAGCCTGTTACCAGTGTGCAATTAACTTCAAAAACCGAAAAATTAAAATTTCACAAATGTTTTTGAACCTTCAACAGTTCTTGTTCAGGCAGCAATGAATTTCCGTTACAATGCGATTAAATACAAATATTATTCAAAATTCGAATACATGTTAGCCAATGAGTTTTTACTAGGCATGCGCATTATATACAGTGATACCGCGACTTACGCGAACCCGGAGTTACGCGATTTTCAAATCTCGTTGATTCGTCTTTTGTTTGAGCGCCACGCAACTCTTGATTACTCATTCTTTCCACACTATTGTTCAACTTATGTGTTCGGAAGTGTCGCGCAGAATCGACACATAGCTACAATTTATTTTGTGTTATTTATTTCTGTGTTTGTTATATCTATGGAGACTCGAGAGACTCTATGTGATGATTTCTTACAACCGCGAATGAATCAAAAGACGAGATAAGATTAACAAGAACATTTATTAGCTTACGTACATCCCACTTGGATTTTACACACATTGAGAAATTATACCCCGACTTACGCGAATTCGACTTACGTGGTTATTGCTCGGTCCCACCTATCGCGTAAGTTCGGGGTATTACTGTACACAGTAAATGGCAAGAATTTATAGCTCTGTCCATTAGTGCTTGCCATGCTAAGGACAGATTTAATTCCTATTTGTGGTTGATGCAGCTGTTGCTTAGTTTGTATATACAGGTAACCCCTGCATAACACGGCACTTCTATAGCATGGATTCACTCTAACACAGTTCGAGAATTGGGACCATCCCCGTATAACACGGTACTGTTATAGCACAGATTCACTCTGACACGGTTCGAGAATTGGGTAAAACCCTCATATAACATGAAATGTAATAAATTTTTATATACTTAAGTGTTAATAGTTCACGAAAATTATTATTTTCGTGAACTATTAGTGCATAAGTATGTAAATTTTCTTTTCTCACCTTCTGTTGATACACATGGTCCTTCTCAAAACTTGTTTCAATGTTGCCAGATCTCAACGCTTCTGCTTCTGAAGTTGCCAGATGTTTTTCTCTTATTCTCATACTTGCTTTATTCTTCATAAGTGCTTAGCACCATATAAGGAAATTTATAAAGATCTTTTAACTAGAAGCAAGCGATCTAAAATTACATACACTTTTTGCAAAAGGTAGAGCATGGATCTGAAGATAATGCAGAAAAATGCTCAGAGAATAAGGATAACTTGCCAAAAAGAAAATGCTCTCGGTTAACAGTGCTTTTAGTGATGATGAAAAAAACATTGTTTAATTTATATTAATATGTATCACTTAAGAAAATTTTAATAAAGATATTTATCTTAATTATGAAAATATAATAGCATGTTTTTTTAATTTTTGGAACCTAACCCTCCTTTTCGTACTAGTTCTTTGTTTCGTATAACACGGATTCGAATAACACGGCAATTTTTTGGAACGTAACTATCGTGTTATACGGGGGTTACCTGTATTCACTTTAGATGTTCAGTGTATGGTGTGCTGTGGATGATTCTTGCCTGGTTAAAATTTGGCTCTATCGCAGGATCACTGGCATAAATACTCAGAGCTGTGATGGTCCTGGTGCATTGTACATCCACGATGTGCTCTTTTACTCTAATGCCCAAGGAGCCATATACATATACAAACTAAGCAACAGCTGCATCAACCACAAAGAGGAATTAAATCTGTCCTTAGCATGGCAAGCGCTAGTGAATAAAGAGCTATAAATTCTCATCATTTACTGCATATATAATGCACATGCCTAGTAAAAATTCATCAGCTAACACATATTTGAATTTCAAATAATATTCATATTTAATCGCATTCTAACGGAAATACGTTGCTGCCTGAAGAACTGTTGAAGGTTTGAAAATGTTCATGAAATTTTCATTTTTCATTTTTTGAAGTTAATTGCATACCAGTAACAGGCTTTGGGGTACGTAATGGATGTTCATACTTTGTATAATCGTAATGTTTCTTGGTTTTTGTAGAAATAATCTCACAATACCTGTATGTTTTGGTGTATGAAGATTTACTATAACCATGACATTATGAAGCCTTTTCTTCATAAAAAAGGAAGATAAATCAAACTTTCTGTGAAATGATATTTGTTATGTTTTGTTAATGTTGTTCATGTTTTCTTTGGAGTTTCTTTAGGTATTGATACCTGTTAGGAATATGTGCATGCATTCATGCATTTGTGTGTGTTTGTGTGGGTATGTGAATGCAGGTGTTCAATGTATGTGATTATTGAGACAACCTATGTCAGGGATGATGAACCTTTTTGCATATGCATGTCATATAGTAACAATAATTACCTTTAAAAATGTTTATGCATGCTTAAGTATTAGACTTCAAATGACAATAATTTAAAAAATTAAACAAATGTGCTTTAAAAGGATGATCTGGTGAGAAATCAAAAGAACGTTTGAAAAAAGATAGACTATAAAACAAAATCAAATGATAAATCACGTGCCAGACAATTTCCTAACCTAATATCTTTATTGCTTTAAAAGTGTTTTTTGCATTCAACTGTGTTGTTAGTATTGCATTTAATCTGTTGTATTGCATTATTAGTCTCTGATCTATTTATGCACATTATATTAGCTTGATCTGTCAAAATTCTAAAAATTTATAGATCACTTCCCTCACCTACAAATTCAGCAATGTCTTCAATTTACAAGCACAATATCATCCTTCTTCAGGATTTCTTTTTCTGTATGAAGTGTTTTTGTATTTGATTAGACAAAAGTCTATTTGCATGTAAGTGTACATGTAATTTTTAATAGGTGATTAACAGTAGCAACCATAGAAATGGCATCACTCATAAAATCCTACAAAAATTTGTATATTTTTTAAATTCAAATATCATTTTGCTGTAGACCGGCAGAAGCCACAAAGACTGTATCATCAGTATTGTGACATCATAAATATGAAAACACTTTTCATTGGTTGACAAAATCTACAGCAGCAAAGTTTCTGGAGATTGCATAGTCCATTAGTATAAAAACTCAAGCAAAGGCAGTGCTTTTATAAGAAAAACAGAAAGTTTTCAATAGTTAACATCATGTAAAATGTCCACAATTGTTGTCCTAAATGTTGAAAGTTTATTCTCTCACAAAATAGTGTGAAGAGTGCATTTTCATCAATCAGCAATTGTGTGTTTGTTACAGAGGAGATAGAAATTCATGCAATAATGGTAAATTTGGCAAAACAAGTGTAACAGTTACCTACGTATTTAATATAAATTGCAATTTGGTTCAAATACACCATACTCCAGCCAGACACTCGTTCTTTAAATATTCCGTATTCTGAAATAATTATTTTGCTTTAGCTTCCAAATATCATAATTCCGTTTTAGTCTGCTATATAAAATTATAGCTTTATTTTTCTTAAATCAGAATTTAAGAAAAGTAAACTATGATTTTATATATGACGTAAATAAATACAGGATATTTAAAATTCTTGTATATTTTATCTTCCAGAAGTAAAAAAAAGTTTGTATTTCATGTCGTTTGATCACATTGTAAAAATTATTTGAAGAAATACAATTATTTATATCATGTAAACATAAATGATGCAAGAAATAACTGTGTGAATTATCTTTATCTATCTTAGTGATAATTCATGAGTCACCTATATCTATAATTGGATTTAAATTAAGGATTATAAAACAGAATGGAATTTCACTTATTAATTCAATATCCATTGAATTTCTTTAATAGTTGTTTATACACAGATTTTCATTTGTTTTTAAGCAACTAATAATTGAAACCGATAACTTGTATTGGATAGAACATGATATAAACACGAGGGAAATGATAAAAGTTCATAAAAGAAACGAAATGATTGCCTCACCTGAAGAGACGACAGGAAATATCGTCTTTTGCTCTTTTTTCGATCAAATAAATTTTTACTTTTCAATTAAATGTTTCTTAAATAATTAAAAGATGTTTAATTATTATTTTTAAGTACAAAAAATAATACTTTGATCGGAATCGAAGACAGAAAAACAAACAAACTTAAACACAAACCTTGTTTACTCACAACTGATTCACCGATTATAGGTTTCTTACCGAACCTAATCTGAAATCTACGCCTCCTTCTATTGGTCGATTTCGGAAATTTATTCCACATTCGGCCAATTGCATTTGAAATAATAATATTTTTTTCTTAATGTTTTAACGTTAATGTATTATATTTGTATTTAATATTTTGATTTAATAGGTCTATATGTAATTTTTACTACTATAACTGAATAATTTACGAGATTATCTATTTAACTTATTACGGTGTTTTTCAACCTTTTATTTCTTAATAGCGACGTTCCTGGTTCTTTATCGATTTAGACCTAGGCCTATTGTTCTTTTAGTGTTTTTAGTAATAAGCATAAAATGTGTTATGGCATTACTCGGCACTACAGGGTTCACCAATGAGTAGATGAAATCGGTTAATTAACACTGGTAGTTAGTCGTGAGTCCCCCTGACCTACAGGCTAGCCAAGTGCAGTTCTCCGGTTTTTCTTCGCGTATCTAGCCCTAAATAAGGACCACATTTCCATAGAACGTCCTCTCGGGAAGCACCCCTCAACCATATCGCCCAAGTGTTGTGTTGCCTTTTTACGTAAGTCAGTCCATTCAGCGGGTCTCCTGTAGCGTCATCCTAGTGTGCCGCGTACCCCCTTTGAAAATTACTGACTTCGTTATACCCGCAACACCTTGTTGAAAACCACTATCATTATACTATAATGACGAGAGAATTGCGGAGGCAGTAAAATCATTAGTCTGCCTTTCTGGAGATTCGGGGGCGAGTGGATAAAACCACGGAATACTGGTAGCTATCTCCGGGTTCCCTCCTGATCAATGGGCTGATCACGTGTTTTCTGGATTTTCTATACGTGTCTAACAAAACAAGAGACTAGTATCTAACAGAAAATCCTTCATGCCAAGAACGATCTGCCACACTCCATTGGCAGATCGCTCTTTTTGTATTTGTATGGCCTTATCCCATCAATCTAATTCATTTCTGAAGAGTCGGATTCGTGTCCGAGTCGAATCATTATTTTCGGGAATAGTTTCACCCGGATAAGTTGAAGTCTAATTGTTACACTCCAATTGTCACCAATTATAAAAACGGCCGGATGGCAAGCAGTTAATAAATTTACAAGTAAGAAAGTGAAAATCATTAAAAATATCAAAACGGTAAAACAATCCTGCGAATGGAATTAAATAATCTAAAAGTTAGAAAGCATTTTCATGAAGTAGATACAGTAAGACCCCGCTTAACGCTGGGGATGCGTTCCTAGATGACAGAGCGCTAAACGAAACAGCGTTAAACGGGGTCATCTTAACACGTAAATAATGGGGATAGGTAAAACAGAACAGAGAATAAGAAAATTTATCTGTTTTATTTTGTAACATTTATTGTACTTTTTTATTACATTAATTATAGACTTATTTATTGCTAATATCGATATTTATTCATAAAACATTCATAAAAATAAAATAAAAAGTTCGAGTAAAGAAGTTATGTTTGTGATGAGGAAGGTTCTTCCTCATTTGACATCTTTTGTTTCTTTGTGAAGAAGTTATCTAACGTCGTTTGCCTTTTCCTGTTTCGTTCAGCAAGCAGTTTTCGATAACAGTTGACACCTCGTCTTGCCATTGAACTTCTATCAAAATTTACATAATTTTGTATAAACTGATCCATAATTTCCGTTATAGTGGCTAAACTGTTTTTTAGAAAATCCGTTGAAAGTTCCTTTTGTTTCTCATCTTCAGAAACGCTAATTTCGTCATCGCCATGCGCCTGTTGTTTTACTAATTCTTTAAGATCGTCGTTGGAAAAATTTTCTCCAGTTGTAACTTGCAATAATTCTTCAATATCCTGCGCATTTTTATTATCCAACCCTGTTTCATTAGCTAGCTTGACAATTTCGTCGACATCAGCAATGGATTCTTTTGTATTATACCCTTGCTTAGCTTCGGCCATACATTCTTCCATACTCCTTTCAAACATTTCTCGGTCACCTCATTCCAGGAAAGACTGATGTTGTCTACAGCATCTATGATATTATAGTTTTTCCAAAAATCTCTAATGAATTGTTTATCTGCTCCATCTGTTTTATCAATCAGTTGTCGGAATGTCCGCCGCAGATAATAATCATTAAAATTCGATATTACGCCTTTATCCATTGGTTGGATTAACGAAGTTGTATTTGGCGGCAGGAAAACCACTTCTACTGGAATGCATGTTGTTAAGTCAGACAAATGCGTTGGATGGCTTGGAGCATTATCGATCAAAAGTAGAGCTTTCGGTTTTAATTTTTTTGAAATTCGCAGTAGCGTTTAACATACGGGCAAAAATGTTCGGTGAACCAATTCTGAAAAATTTTCATAGTGATCCAAGATCTTTTACTGGACTCCAAAATTACTGGTAAAGATGATTTTGAAATTCCTCTCATTACTCTTGGGGTCTTGGAATGATAAACAAGCAGTAGTTTTAATTTAAAGTCTCCATTAGCTTTACCACCCAGTAGAAGTGTTAAACGAACTTTTGTAGCTTTAAATCCTGATGCTCGCTTTTCTTCACGGAATAAAAATGTACGTTTTGGCATTCTCTTCCAGAAAAGGCCCGTTTCATCAACATTGAAAACTAATTCAGGAGGATAATTCCCTCGTTCAATGATTGCTCTTAATGTTGCTGGAAATGCTGCAGCTGCTTTTGTATATCCACTTGCCGCTTCTCCAGTAACCTGTATGTTATGAAGATTGTTTCTGTTTTTAAATCGATTAAACCACCCACGACTAGCTACGAAATTTTCCCTCGTGTCGCCTTTTTCATTCTGAATATGGTTAAAAAATTTTCACGCTTTTTCCATTATAATTGCTTGACTTAATGGCTTTTTCGTTCAACTTCATCGTCAATCCAGATGGAAAGTCGTTTTTCCATTTCCTCAAACACATTGCTTCTGGTACGGGTAATTTTTGTTGCCGAAGTCGTTGTGGTTGTAGTTGCTGATGATACGATTTTTTTTTTATTTTTTAAAATTGTCCGTATTGTTGAAGTTGACAAATTTAATGCAGTGCCGATATCAGATTGCCGTTCACCTGCATCTGAGCACCTGCATTTTAGTTTCCAGCGAAATGCTTTTTTCTTGTCGCTTTAATTTCTTTTTTTTTGCAATCACCCATTTTAAAAACTAAAAAATGCCGTATTTATCACAATAAAATAAAATAATATGTTTATATCTATATACACACAATAAAGTTGATGACCGATCATAAATCAACTGTGACGCAGCAAACATGCGTTAGGGGAATCCCAACGCTGCGTGCGATCTCGGGGAATTCCAATACTACCGCGTAATATCGAAACAGCGTTAAGCGGGGTCTTACTGTATTCTAGAGCAATGGTCGGCAGCCGGTGGTCCGCGGACCATTGATAGTCCGCGAAAAAATTTGGGTGGTCCATGAAGAAATTTGAACATTGATCAACCGAAAGTTACACGAAGTATTACGAAAGATATGCAAAATGCTTAGTTGGGGTTTTTTTATTCGAATCTAAAACCAAAAACGAAGTGATTGTTATCAATAAATAATGAACAATAAACAATATTGTTAGTACGGTTGTCGTCCATCGTGGAAAAGCGCGAAGAATCCATAAACTTGTTTCAAACACGTAGCAATGAACTTCAGGCTCGCATTAATTTGTTATAATTAAACATGCGAGTTTCATATTAATTTAGTAAAATTGAACTTTTGTGATCATTATTCTATAGATTTTGTATCGTTTAAAAAAATTCATGATAATGGTCCGTGGGTTTCAAAATTGTGACTTTAGTGGTGAGAAAGGTTGCCGACCGCTGTTCTAGAGTATTCATATTTTGTGAAATACAGTAGAAATAAGTTCTTTGCGAAACAGATAATCGAAAATAAGGTCTAAAAATATATGAGGAATTACGCAAGTTCTGCTGGGGTGTTTTTAGACGGAGCCAATGCGAATGTACAGTACGTACAGTATATAACCGTAAAATGTTTATGATGTAATAATCAATCAAAGTATTTAATGCGTATCCTAAAAGAAAGAAGACCCAGTCTGGATCTGGCGACATTCAAATGATAGGTGAAAGGATATTTTTTGAGAAATAAGTTTAAAAAACCAACTAAACATAAAATATTTTAAAAAATCACACTTTTAATTGTGTTTACTTTTAATGTGTAAAATTACAAAATTGTGTAGAAATTATACTAAAGTTTTTCATGCAAAAACGAGTCAGTTAATTAATAAATATTTTCATTTATTTCATAGATCAAAATTATTTGAGAAAAATATGGTTTAAAAAAAAAACTGGTTCCGAAAAGGAGTTTAAAATGAAAAGGTATAACTGCACAATATTAAAATAAGAAAATTATTTTTTAAACTCATTTATTAATATTATTTTGTAATTAACAAACATATTTACGTACTGGTACGTTATAAACATTACAACAAAAAAAGTACAGTGTATGAAATTCAAAATAATATTTTTATTTTATTTAAAGTTTTTCATTTATATTATAGTGATATACCACGTAATTGTTCTATTATATTTTACCTATCGTAATTTAAAATTGTTCTCAAAATTCTTTGACCGACTTCAAAGTAACGTATACGTTTATGCCGATATTGAAAACCTGCTATTGCTTTCTTAATCAGCATTATTTTTCGTAGTCCATTTATAAAAATCCATAAATTTAACTGATTTGCGATTTATATTTATATATATTTTACTACGTGAATGTCTCTCTTTAATCCGATTTTCAGTTCGGTAGATTATCATATACAGCTTTCATGTTAGGAACTTCTTTTATTGGTTTGTCAAATAGATAGAAATAACATAAAAATAATTCACTTAGAAAAAGATATGTATAAACGCAAATTTAAAGAACATATTGAAATTATAAAATGTAAAGATGATTTAATAAACATTTCAAATGGTATGCAAATAGACCAAATGTGGTATAATATAATAGA